CAAACACCTGCACGGTTGCCGCAATCCGTGCACAAGGTCAATCTCTCTCAAAAAGCTTCCAAGCATACTAGAATGGCAGCAACCGCACCTTCTGCTTGCCGCAAGGGTCACCTCGTTGCAGGTGTGATGCCAAACACCTGCGCGGTTGCCGCAATCCGTGCACTAGGTCAATCTCTCTCAAATAGCTTCCAAGCACACTGGAATGGCAGCAACCGCACCTTCTGCTTGCCGCAAGGGTCCCGCAAGGGTCACCTGGTTGCAGGTGTGATGCCAAACACCTGCAGGGTTGCCGCAATCCGTGCACTAGGTCAATCCCTCTCAAAGAGCTTCCAAGCACACTAGAATGGCAGCAACCGCGCCTTCTGCTTGCTGCAGGGTCACCTCATTGCAGGTGTGATGCCAAACACCTGCACGGTTGCCGCAATCCGTGCACAAGGTCAATCTCTCAAAAAGCTTCCAAGCACACTAGAATAGCAGCAACCGCGCCTTCTGCTTGCCGCAAGGGTCACCTCGTTGCAGGTGTGATGCCAAACACCTGCACGGTTGCCGCAATCCGTGCACTAGGTCAATCTCTCTCAAAGAGCTTCCAAGCACACTAGAATGGCAGCAACCGCACCTTCTGCTTGCCGCAAGGGTCACCTTGTTGCAGGTGTGATGCCAAACACCTGCACGGTTGCCGCAATCTGTGCACTAGGTCAATCTCTCTCAAAGAGCTTCCAAGCACACTAGAATGGCAGCAACCGCGCCTTCTGCTTGCCGCAAGGGTCACCTTGTTGCAGGTGTGATGCCAAACACCTGCACGGTTGCCGCAATCCGTGCACTAGGTCAATCTCTCTCAAAGAGCTTCCAAGCACACTAGAATGGCAGCAACCGCGCCTTCTGCTTGCTGTACAGGTAGGGGTGCTGGGTTTTTTCGTGCATGGTTGCGGCAATTGGAAAACAACCTTTGCAATGGAATTGCGAGGCCTTCCACAGCTGCCAGCAGACAGTGCGATCTTAGAACCGCCAAATCGCAGATTTTCTAGGTCCAGCCGGTCCAGCCGGTCAGGTCATCATGAACATTTGTCCCATACCGAGACCTATTCAATGTCGTATATTGTGTCTACTAGCTTCTTGTTACTACTAGTAAGGCACTTGTTGCTAGAAGCGATGCACTTGTTCCTAGTAGCTTCTTGTTACTAGTATTCAATTTCGTATATTTTGAGGATTCATTGATGTCGTCATGGGGTGAGTGGTTCTTGTGCATCACAACTTGTGGGTAGATGACATCCACAGTAGGGAGAATGTGGCATTAGAAATCCATTTGGCGTGCGAAAAGAGCGAATAGAAAACTGGCCATGTGTGCTTTGATGTAGCATGACTTCACTTCGGAGCTTAAGCCAAAATGCCAAGAGCATGTCCTCTCTCGTACCTCTTTTTAGATGGTGTGGGATGGCACTGAGTAGACGGTCAAAATCACGAAATGCGTTGGGATTCATCATAAGTTTCCTATGCTACCCACATCTTCTACTCAAGAGCAGTTCTTGGTGTCGGCTGTCCTTTATATGGTCTGAGTCTAGTTCTTAACTTTGTGGAAGCATGCAAAATTGCTCATCTGCTGGTTGAGCATCTACGTGACCCAACATTCCTGTTTTGCTTGGCGGACGTAAAGTGGCTTGATTTCAGCATACGCAGGCACTACATTGTAGCCGCACGGGCCTCAGAAACTGAGAGAAGCAATGTATGCAGTCAAGGTAAAGTACAACCTGTCACTTCATCTATTGGCGAGCAAGTTTATTCTCTCCTTGTGCAAGCCGGCAATATGAAGAGGGGTGCACAAGACCACTGTTGAGTGTCCAGCCAGGTCGCCTGGTTACTGGAGCCTTCACATGCCATGGGCCAAGTATTGCAGGCCAGTTCTGAGAAGAAAGTGAGTTCGTCCAGGTATAAATCACAACTAAAAGGGATCCGTCTGAGTACATCAGGGAATGAACTTGGCTAACCGATAAAAAAATAAAGTACAAACCAAACGCATCTGCTCGCATCGCATGGACACCTTCGTGAAAATGAAAATACGTGGTCAAAACTCTGTATCCATGACTAAACTAAATAAGTCCGTAAGTGCCCCTTGACTAAGGCCCGGTCCCCCATGTCTTAAAGGGGCCCAGGGGCCCTTTCTTTCAAATCCTCCGGTCGAAGCCTCGCCTCGCTCGCTCGTCGCATGGGGTGGATCAACTTGGACGGTGCTTCGGCACCTCGCCTCGGCGCCCGACGGGCACTCCGCAGCGAACGGCGTCCATCCCGAACGGAAGAACGGCCACAGACAGAGAAGGCCGGAGCTTGGCAACCACTATCCCATGAACTGCGATTGGACTGGACCAGCACAAGCAAACCACAGCTTCCAGGACTTGAGAGTTTCGGCTTTCGGGGAGAATTGTGACGAATGACGAATGGTGCAAAAATCCATGAAAACCTGCCCCCCTCACCCATTGCGTATTGGGTTCCTGGATCCTCTAAGACTCTAAGTACCACATCCTTCAAGACAGGTCAAGTCACCCCCAAATCTAGCTGATTGCTGCCAGGTCACAACCAGCTTACATTCGGCACTTGCTGCAAAGGTGAAAGCATTGGCTTCATTGGTGAAATAACCTATCCAAAAGACTCGAAACCGGAAATCGAAGAACTCCAAAAGCAAAAATAGCAAGTCGACCGCTTTGACCGCGCACTCGCAGCTGTCAATTGGCCTTGCCTGGGAATTGCTTGGCGAGCGGCTGTCATGTGCTTTTACGGCGGAAGGGGAGCTACCTTGCTCGCCGGGCACAGTTTCGACCTCTGTTCATGGGAACTGATCTGGAAAAGCACCAGCCTCTTGAAAGGTAGTGTACAGCTGGCTGCTTCTCGCGCGGGCCTCAGAAGCAGCATTGGTAGTTCCAGGACAACTCACTCTCACTCTCACTCTCACTCTCACTCTCACTCTCACTCTCACACTCTCTCTCTCTCTCTCTCTCTGTGTCACTGACTCTCAAAGGGTAGACTTCTCTGGATCCATGCCTGAGCGCGCAGTTTCACACCTCATTTTCTGATAGGAAAAACACACTGAATCTTTCAGAATTGCCATAGAAGCCTTGCACGTTTATTTTGCCCAAGTGGCCATCTCTGCTTTCAGGGCCTCAGGGCAACGCCCACATTCGAACCCACAACTCCAGGTCGGCGGTCCGGTTCGCGTCGCATCTGGCCTTGGTTCGGCCCAACACGGAGACCAGCTCCTGGCACATCGGTTGTCAAGAGCCAAAAAGTGCACAACAGGCTGTGAAGAATAGTGAAACGGTTCTCAGTGCTTTTTTTGTAGTGACTACCAACGAAATGGTTCATCTATCACTCTCAGTCTGCCGGCTAAGAGCTCTTATCCCATAACAGCATCCGTTTTGAAGATGAAAGTGGCGAGAAAAGAGTTCCCCTTTCAAATCTCAAAGCCTACGGAACAGAGGAAAAGGCACTAGATACATCTCACCCAAGCAAGGTGCTTGTATCAGTCAACATTGGTCCAGTCCAAAGAGTCGGTAGACACGGACTCCAAGGACAACAAGAAGATCCACTTCATTCTGGTTCTAGTAAGTTGGAGGCCATCGCTATTAGGTAGTCTAAGGAGGATCCATAGTGCCATAGAGCTTGGACAAGTCCAAGCAGGGTGATCTTCAAAACAAGAGTTTGGACCTCAAGCAGGAGGTCATTCTCTCGCTGCAGAGCAGCCTGTGTCCGTGAGCAAGTCAAATCCCCCAACAAGACTGTCCACATCACAACCACTTCAAAAACCTGAAGCAGCTGGCCTGTAAAGAGACCATCTGCTCTTCTCGATCTACAAAAGCTGCCTTTTCTTGCCTCACAGGGATCATTGCAGTGCTCCCATTTGGATACACGTGACAAAATAAAGAGTTGTTGCGGGCCATCCACGGAACTTTTTGGATCTCAGATGCCAACTGGTGTGCTTTGCACAGTTTTTCAAGCTCCTGTCGCACAAGTTTTGCTAAATGTGCTGTTGAAGGGGTAGTTCATTGCTGCCTCCAAGGCAGTCTTTTCTCTTTTTCGCGCCTGGCCCATTACATGATGGTGCTACGCACAGAGTTCTCACACATCTGTCCATAAGCCGGGTGCAAGAAACATGAAAATACTGTTTGCCACAGCCTTCTCTAACTCCTCCTGCATCTCCTCCAATCTGAGGGCTTGCCTCATACACACCTTCGTATGTTGACAGGCAAGAGTGGATCAAAAGGTTCTAACCAACAGGGGCAAATAATTTCTACATGCGTCTTACTCTTGAACTCTAGGCTGCAAGTAGGCAAGGAACATTGAACGTAGATAAATGTTTCATTCCGAGCAGCAAGACTCATTCATCACCACACATATATTGTCATTGAAAAATATAGAAAGGACACGTAAGAACAGTCACAAACTGCATAGCAAAAACGTTTCAATTCAGATCCAGCCTCGGCCAGCTTTGGGCCGTGGACATCCTCGGCCAGAGCTGGTGCTGAAAAGGACCGAAACGACATCAACCGATGAACCCTCGGCCTGGGAATCCGCCGTCATGGGAGGTGCACGCGGCGCGTAAAGCAAACCAACACCCTTGACTTTGTTCCACTGTGCCAAACAACATGGCTAAATCTCACACTTTTGCAGCTGACAATTCATTTGCTCATTCATGTTATCACAACTTTGCTGTGCAACACCACAACATGTGCGAAAGACCAGGCCTTCTGATCAAAAAATGCAGGCCAAGGACGATATGAAATTTGTGAACCTGCGCATCTTGAATGGTAGACGACAACTTCGTGTTGTAGATTGCAACAGCAGCAAGCATGTTCCCAATGGATTGCCATCACAGAACTTGTGTTTCACCGTTTCCGCTGTCCCGTTAGGAAGCCTGGATGCCATTTGTTTACTGTGCACCTTTTTTTGATTCACAAAAGGGCTGCGCAGTGGTGTCATACATGCTTCATGATGCTGGTTATGCTGTACATCTCTACTATGCCCTGCATGGAAAATGGTTCCCATTCCTTCTTGGCACTGTGAAGCTCTAAGGTGCTGCTTTGAACTCACTTTGCCACCATAGTCCATGTTTTCCATTCCATTTTTGTTTCTCTTCAAGCTTACTCATCTCTCTCAGGAACTGGGTTCCCAGAGATTGGCATTACATCTGTTTGTGGTCTATCTGGATAGTTTTTCCTCACGATTGTACATTCTAACAGTTTTTGATACTTCCTTTTCTGCCATATCTGCTGCCTCCTGCAATCCTCTACTCATAAGATTCCAATGTCCTTTCATGGAGTTGCTCAAGTTTTGCTCCAGCTCGGCCACGCATCTGGCTTGCTTGCTCTGCAATGTATTGTTCTCTCATTGATATCTCCCTGTTTCCTACTTTGAGATTCTTGACTCAATCCCAAACCTTCTCCACATATTGACATCGTTTCGTTTCACAAGACACAAAGCACAAAGTCAGCTGATCAACTGAGATACGCCGCTCTGACAGTCTTTTTCACTTGGGCGGTCACGTGTTGGTCACATTCAAGGCCCCCCCCGCGTCAACGGAAAAGGAACGTCAGTAGTAGGAGGCGGAGATGATGTCATGAACAGGGGGGGTTTTCAGGGCGGGTGACAACATGCATTGCGCTGCTCTCCCACCCGCCCACCACTTGAGAGGAAAGAAAACGGACAAACATATATTTCCGTGCGCCACCGCTCAAATCGTGGTCGCCTGTTTCACTCCGTCTTTCTCATGCTTCTTTGGGAAATTAAAACAACTTCAAGTGATCATAAAGGACAACCAAAAGGGGTGATTGAGCGATCGCATGCGGACAGCATGCTCCTATCAAAAATCTAAAAAGAATTAGGAAACTTCGCTTCCAAATGACCTTTGAGATTCTTGACTCAATCCCAAACCTTCTCCACATATTGACATCGTTTCGTTTCACAAGACACAAAGCACAAAGTCAGCTGATCAACTGAGATACGCCGCTCTGACAGTCTTTTTCACTTGGGCGGTCACGTGTTGGTCACATTCAAGGCCCCCCCCCCCACATTTTTCAGGGGGCCAACACGACCACCCCGCCTCTTCCAAGAAGAGGGTCCAGCTCCTCACGAGACTGGACACAGTTCAAGTCCAGTGACTGGACACACAGGTTTCAGGCAAGTTGCGCCCAGTTGCAAAACCAGTTCTAGATCACCTCTCGAGGGGCCATCAGCAATGTTTGATTCGGACGGCGCCCGACTGAACCATGCCCATGTTGGCCCAGAGAGCTCAAGCCGCTCAAAACTCACCAAGAGCGTGCGAAAGACTCTACTTGAAGATATGCCCTTGACGAAAGGGTCCATTGATGAGTTGTTATCAATGAAGTAGATACATCTCTTGTGGCTAAGCAGGTCACCCCACACAAATCGGGCTACAAGTAAGGCATACATTTCGACAGGGCCTATGATATGCTTCAGTTCTGCACACCACGAATCAGTCAGAGCTCGCGGCACCACGCCTGAGAAGAATTGACAGACCCCTATGGAAGGCTCGAGGATAACTCCACCAATAGTATGAAGCGCCCCTTCACTGGCACCATCAGTAAAAACTAAAACAGGTGGGCAGGGATCAGAACATGGAATGGTTCTTGGCACACCGGCTGTCAATCTTTTAAGTAAAAGACCAAATGACTCTACCGCCTCTGCAGTCAATTTTGCACCTGAACCATGTCGTTTCACAACATCACGAATGGTAGCCATTGCAAGTCTTCCGGCTCTGCCCATGATGTAGCTGTCAGCATACTGTATTCGGCCTAAAATTCTGCTACACTCGGAAAAAGTCATCGACCCCGTTTGAATGACTTTGTTGACCGACCCGACTATTTCATTTATACGGCTTTGCTTGTTTCTCACCAAGACCTCGAAAGAGTCAGCTCTGCTCAGATCCACCTCTACTCCAAGGATGCTCGAACAGGGGCCGAAAGCTTTCGTTTCCGCTCGTTGTAAGCAAAACCTAAGAGGTCCATGAGGCTAACAAGACAAGTCATGCTTGAATCGGCAAGCGAAATTGGAGTGACTATGGGATAGTCATCAAAATAGTTACTGACGATCAAATCCAAGTCCCAAGCAATCGCTTGCAGCCGCCTCGCAACCCGATTGAAGTGAACAACACTTGCAGTCGAACCAAAAGGCAGAACCCTGCCCTCAAAGCAGCAAACTTTGGCCGTACTTGGATCCTTCAACAAAACGATGGAGTATTTCCTGCAGCTTGGGTGAAGCGCAAGTTGCTTATACGCAGACGACAAATCCAAAGCAGAAATCACGGGGATCCAACTTCCATCCCGAGACAATGAAGGGTGCAAGGGGGCTCTCAGTTCTGTGCCACACGACAGTCTAAAGAATACTTCACCTCTGACGTGGGCCATCCTAGTGATGGCAACAGCTGCGCAGACTACTTGGTCCATAGCTCTCAAGTCAAGCTTGTCAAAATAAGCAAAGGCTGCATTTACCCTGTTTTCGGCGTAATCATCAATGGGACTAAGTTTCACAGCGTCGCCAGAAGACTGCCGCACACCAAAACGACGAACTGGCAACCAGGCTGAACCATGAAGGGCATGGATCTGGTCTGGGGTAAAGGGACCTTTCATCCAATGCTTTTCCAAGGCCTCTTCCTGAGTGATACTAAAAAGCTCCTTCAGGTCATCATCCACAGGTGAGGCTTTGACCTTCCCTAGGAGAGCCGGTCGAACAAACTTTGACATGCCGTCCAGTTCTTCAACGGATATGGACGCAGGTCTAGGCTCGAGCGCGAAAATCCCAGAAGCGGGTTGATGCCCAACTATGCGAAACCCTTGGCACATTTCATCGAAAACATCCATGTCCTGCCACTTGATGTCATGCGCGATATGCCTCAACAAGAGAATGCGTTTCCCTTTGAGGACCGCAGCGACACCCTCCTCGAGACTATCATGGAGTTCTTTCTCGAGCGGAGCAAGTTTACTAGCAACCTTCAGCCAATCTTTAAGCTTTTGGGCTCTCCTCATGGCAATCTCTCCTGGTCCAAGCGTGAGATTCCTGAAGATGACCTCAAGCATACAATCAGGCACCGTGTGAAAAACATCAAACGGGTGTACAACCAACGAAGCTTTGTCAATAAACTCACGAGGCGAATGAAAGACTCCAAAGGACAATTGGCAAGTCTTGCTCAAACCCTTAGACGGAAACTCATCTTGACCTTGTTGGTCCCCCTGTTCATGGTCGACATTCTTACTCTCCCTTTTTCTCTTTCCCCCAAGACTCAGGGGAGTAAGGAGTTTGGAACCTGCAGGGATGGCTCCAAGAGAGACGGTCAAACGGCGCTTGCCATCCAGCGGTGGGACGGAGTCGGTCTGAATGGTTGCAATATACTTGAATTCAGGGACCAGCTGGGGGACAACCTTGCCTCTAGGTTGCTTTTGCATCGCAATGGAACCACGAGTCCACGAGCATTTAATGGGACATGCGACAGTGAACTGGGAACAGAAGCAGGCGATAACTGCGTGGACTGCAACACAATGCTGACAACCTTAGAAGCCAATGCTTTAGGGTATTTGGCAGCGGCGCTTGTGGCGCAACTGAAGGACTCATCAGCATCCCGTCGGCGACTACCGGGCAGGTGTTCATGCCCCCCTGGGCAATTGGCTGAGAGCTGACTCATTTCCGGAAGGTTTGACAAAAAGGCAACACGCGTTTGCCGTTCTGCACCCCCAGGCGCAAGCATCAAAGTCAACAAAGCTCGCACTTGAAAAGAGTTCCATGATGCATGGAATTTCCCAAAGAAAGCTGCGGCTTGGATTTGCTACAGACCAAGCAATGCCACGGTTGGTGCATTGCTGCAGGAAAAATGACAAGTGCAAATAAATGGCATTTGCCGCGTCAACGCGTGCTTGGTCTTGAAGTGACAGATTAGCAAGTCCCATTGGTTGATCCACAGACCGCAAGGGCTGCGGGCTCTTGTCTGGGAGGGTACCGCGCGGCGGTGCGGCGTGAGCAAAAAGAACTGCATACTGGTCTAACATACTCAAAAGAAAGTCCCAAGCGTGTTGTTTCGTCAAATCAAGACAGCAAATCGGCGCAAGTGGGTGAAAACGGTTGCGCTGATGGTCGACTGCTAAGGCCTCGACTCCAGCTTCGCGGAACTGACAACTTAGCATGGCGGACCCTGCGCATAGCTCTATAACTATCGGATGACGAGTATGCGATGTCTTCGACAAACGCACAGGCTCAGCATGGCGGGTGGGCTGCTCAGGGCAAGGAGTCAATGCTTCTGTGGAAGACTCTGTTGAATTCTTGCTGACACCACCTGTGTTGCTTGCATCAAGACGGGTGGTGTCAGCATCATGCATTGGCGCTGAACAAAGCCCCTTAGGGGTTGTCAGCGCGTTCGGCATTTGTCACAAATCGGCCTGCTGGAGCTTAGGACACTTGGCATAACAATGACCTGGCTTGTAGCAGCCCTTGACACAACACACATGGAGGCCCTTCTGGCACCGGCCCCGGGACACTGGCAGCTTGCACTTGCTAAGGTTGTAGTCAAAGCAGAT